GTTTACTGAACATGCACTGTAAGAGCAGCTGACTAATTGTTTTTGAAGAAAAATACGCAATAGTATCAGCTGTTGCTGATACCTTCCATGGGTTCATCCAAACCATCCCAACTTGGGGAGCTGCTTTGAGAGTCATAAATCACTTCTGAGTCCTCAGATTTGCTCATGTCTTTACAGCCAGCAGTTGTTGAATCATTGTGTTGTGTTCCTTTTCAGACATCTTTCCTTATCTTTTATTATTTGCTGTTAGGTCAGCTTCTTCCAGCAACAATCTGGAATCAGAGCTCCAGAACCACCTGGAGTCCATCAGGGTTACTGTGAGAAGTTACCAGCAGCACTTGGAGGAAGCATTAGGAAAATTAAGGGATTCAAATGTGGATTTTCTCAAAAGTTGCAGGTATATAGATTTCATAGAAGTGTTGTTTATAAATGGTGACCGAGTTCTGGGAATCAGCGTTTGTTGCATAGGCAGAAGAGTAAAAGTAAATTTTATTTTGTTATTCATCTAGTTTCCCATTTAAAAAAATAAATGCATCTTGTTAAACCACAATTATTATGCTGTTTTCATCACATTTGTGTTGATATATATGTTTCAGGGCTGTTGAGCTGAAACAGTCTTGGGGAAAAAGATGACTCACAGCCAATTGTTTTTATGTTTGCTTTCAGATTATTTTCAGAGGTCGGTAACTTTTCTTCTGAGGAGGTATAGTTTTTCAGCAAGTGTCTTCAGAAAGAAAGTAAAGAAATTGACTCCTTTGAAAGTTCAATCAAAACAGATGTGGAGCAAATAAAATCGAGCTGCTTGGAGCAGGTATGCAGAATTACATTATTTCAAATTATGTTTTCTGTTGACATATTTGATGGGATTTGCAGTCAGCCTGCTTTCAGATTAGAACTGTAAATCTGTTCTGTTTGGCAATTACATGATGGAAAAAATTAGTAAAAATGGCAAGGTCTATCACTTCAGTTTTAAAAAGTGAAAAATTATCTTGTTCTGTCTTTTGTTTCTGACACTCTTAAAGGCTACAGAACTGTTCAAGCAGTCTCAAAAAAGGTTTGCTTCTCTCTCTCTGAGTCGAGCCTTTATGAGGAAGGTCCCTCAATCTTTGAGGAGGTTACGACAGCAAATCAAATCAGAGGTACAAACAGAAACATCAGAACTTTGCTTAAATTCGTTATAATAATTTTCTTTTTTATACCTTTGAGGAGATTTTGGCTGAATTCATAGTGGACAAATATTACATTATTTTTATGTTGATTTCAAACCTGTTTTCTATCTATCTGCTATTTTCAGCAGTCACTATCTGCTGAAAATTCAAACCTGTTTTCTATCTATCTGCTATTTTCAGCAGTCACTATCTGCTGAAAAGCTTATTTTTAATAGTGCTGACACTGTGCTGGCACGCTATGGCCTTGCAGCACATTGAGTGTATACATCTGAATTCACCAGCATTTTTGTGTGGTGCAGCAAACAACGTGAAGCATTGCTTTTGTGAATTACTGTTTTCAGCTTCTCCTCTGAGTACCAGGGATTTTTAACCAGTTTTTATCAGTGGTTCTAATGGTCTAATGGTAATGAAAGTGGAGCCTCTGAAACTCCTGTGGATGGGGACTTTACTTCTCTGGTGTTTGCTTCTGCTTTAGGTAGCGAA